GGGCAGAAAAGTCAACATCGCTAGACCGATCGAGTAGGCTCAGGCCTAGGCCCTATGTGAGTAAACTTTCAACAACAAATTGTTGGTGTTGTGTAGCAAAGTCTCTTGAAATTTCATTCCAAGTTCACCTGGCAAGGTATGAAGAGCCACGAATAATGTTTTGATATGGAACTATTTCACTTATTTAGATATTTTATACATAAATTCTGCACATATATCTAGGCCCAGCAGAAGGGAATCCTCAGTCAGTTTTTATCATTTTCAGCGCAGTACCTATGTAGACACATGTCCGGTCCGTTTGGCAATCCAGGCTCTCATTCATTCAGTTTCAGGGTTTACTAGCCTAGGCCTAGGGCCTATATCGAATACAAAGTAGCCTACCAGTGTTGCCAAAACGTCACATACTTGCTTTAGTGCAGAGTCTTACATGATGGACTGTTTAGTATAGTAATTTAATAATAATAATAGCCTATAATAGAGTATTTGAATTTGATTTATCACCCATTGAGCGCCTTTTCAATCACTTTGATCATTGATGAGTAGTACTACTAGGGCTAGTATAGCCTTAGTCCACATATGATATATCAAGTGCCCTGAGCATCTTACATTAGATGGATATGTGCGCTATATAAAACTACACGATTATTACTATTATTAAACTAATCTAAGGCCTAATTAGTGGCTTAGGCCTTACTACTACCAGTAGTACCAGGCCTAGGCCACCTAGGCCTGTTTCCTACTTTACTTACCACAACATTGAGTACTACACACAACACCAAAATGATATAGATACTAATTACTGACACCACAAATCAGATTGAGACTGAGCTGAGGTTACTCTATTGACGTATTGTAGTACATTTTTGTTTGTTTTGTCCTGGCCTAGGCCTAGTTTAGTATTTTGTTGTGGAATTTTTCATACATTGTTGGGCCCTAAATAAACCCCCAGTCAGGGACCACCTGGAACCACCACCAGCACTTGATACAGTTCAAAATTTTACCCCCGAATGAGTTAAGTTGTGTGTAATAGATTTTCAACAACTTTTGAAGATTTTGGGCTCTTTATATTTATCCAAGCAACTACAACAGGCAAGTTAATCACACTGGTAGTCTTTATTAAGACTGCATTGTTGGCCTTGCCATGGCCGAGTGTGTGTAATGTTTTTTTTTTTTCATTTGCAGTAGCTATTATTATTTGGCTTAAATATTATCTGTATATTGTACTTTAGTAAAACCTATTTGCAGACTAGGTTTAGGCTTTGCTTAGATGCATCCATTTAGAGTGTGTCAGTTCTCCCATTCCATACTGTTGTTGAAATTTTATCTCTTATTTTCTTATTGATGTATATTTATGCTTAGGCAATACATATTCAAAGTGTTTCCTATTTACAGTAAATCTGCAAAGTAGCTAATATAGCTTTCAACTGACTTACTCGGCTTGCTCTCCACCACTGAAAGGAAAGCCAAATGCAGTGTCACCAATTCTACTGTATTCCTCTAAAACATTTAATTGCAAAGGCCAGGTTTTTAGATCCAGAGGAGACACAAATGAAAACAATTCAATTTTCATATGCATTTTTAGCAAACCACAGATGTATGTTAAACTATTTTATAATCAATTACTCAAATTTACTGTTTACGTGTAAATTTTAGGCATGCACATGTTATGTTAAGTGTAAGTTTACAATATTGAAATTGTTTTATGTTTTGAAATCTCGTTCTTATCCTGCTATCCCGTTTTATCTCTTCCTACAGTATCTATCGTTTTAAATATTTTTTGGCAGATTTAGTGGGCATTTTGTGAGGAAATGTGTAATTATGCAACATGGGTTCGTTTTCGGCCCAAATTTGTTTTCGCAATTACTGGGAATGTACTGATAATTCAATACAGGGTATGTCATTCCTATAAAAATTTCCTGATGCAAACACCATTGAAATTAAATTCAATACTATTACTATCTCATGATAATGAATTTTTAAATGTTGTTTTTTATAATACAGAAGAGTAGTACCAAAATGGCTGATAGTGATACAAGTTCTGAAGCGAGTAGGATGGAGGTCGATCCAGTTCAGATTAGGGCTCAGTCAGCGGCCAGTGTACATGAATTTTCAGAGGAAGAAGGTCAACTTAGGCGATCAAATAGCGCCCCCATGATAAATGGACCGAGTGTCAAGTAAGTAAATATATAATTAATGTTGACATTTCAATATAAATCAAAGGCATATTTAACCAATGTTTTATTTAAGGATATTTTAATACATGTCTCCCTCTAATTAAAAACCCCTCCAATTAAAGACCACTTTTCTGTGGTCCCAAATTTATTATTCAAATTAGAGACCAAAGCTGCTAAAGACATGGAAACCCCAGTCAAAAAGTGGTCTTTAGTTGGAGGGAGACCTGTATTTGCATTAAAACTTTAAAATACTTAATAAACTGTGTGATATAATGTATATATAAATGCTTTTAAACTTATACAATATTTACATTACATTGTTCTTGTGAAATAATGTATTCAACTGTGTAATGTCCTGGAATCATGATGAATAAAAGTGTAGCTGCGTTAGTCTGCTGTAGATCAATAGTAAATACAAATTTCAGCACTTTTAAGACTATATGAAGGAGAATAATGAAGTCCACTGTGTGGACGAAAAGTAGAGCTGATAAATGTTTATAGTATAGTGTGTAAATTGCTGAGATTTGTCATTCATTATATTTTCCTGGAATGTCATTTTTTTGTTTTGAGAAATAATATTTTAGTTTATGAATTATTTGAAATTGTCATAATTCCTCAAATGTTATTTTGTTTTGACAGTGAGGAGTCACTTGTGTTCCAACCATCACCAACCAGGGGGAGAGTTAGAAGGTTTAGTGCCAATTTAACGCCGAATTCATCTAAACCGGTAGGTTCATCTCATAACTTGACAACAATTCCAAGCTGGTAAAAAGCTTAAATCTTACATTTATATTACATTTAAAATTTAGTGGGAGTCTTTACGGTATATTTGTCTTGGTGTAAATCCAAGCAAATTTATATGTTTAATATCATTTCCATTTTATGGGCAGATGAAACTGTTTGGTGATAGGAACTTGTTCATCCATCGTTTGGCCTCCCCCCCCCCACTCCGTATGTTTTGTACATTTGATCCTTAATTGGAGGAAATAAATGTATTATTGTTTTATGTCATCTGAAAATTGTATTATAATTATATAATAGATATTGTTATAATTATATATATTCAAGACCAACTTTGGAACCTGAATATTTGGAATGGTCTCAGGGTTAGGTCTCCACATTAAGGGTTATGGTTAGTGTTAGGTCTCCACATTAAGGGTTACCTTATTTACGGTATTGTTAATAGATTGAAGATTGATATTTGGTTATTTGAAAAAGTGGTCTTAAATTAGAGGGTTTTCCAATCTAGAGGTTTTTCTGAGTTAGTTCTTAAATTCAAGAGTGCACTTCAGTCTTTGTGTAGCATTGTTAACTCTTTAAAAGTATTAATCACTGCTAATGTTTTGTGATCTTTTGATTGGTTATTTTGACAGACTTCTGCACCAATCAGAATCCCGTCCAGGATAAATCAAATCAAGCAAGAGGAAAGTATTAATATATCACAGCGAGAAACAGAACATGAAAGGTGAAAACATGTCATGTGACCATAATGAGGCAGTATACTAAATTTTTAATGATAAAAATAATATATCAACAATACAATACAATTATTTTGCTTAGTACAATTTAGGTGGGTGCGATCTCACTGTTGCACCTGGTGGTAGCCACTGTACTGGTGGTAGCCACTGTCTGCGTGCTGTGCTGATCTCATGGGTTCCCGGTTCAATTCCCATCACTGCTCTCCATGTATTTTCAGCTAGAGGGCTGGAATGCCAGCAAACTGTTTTTCGGATGAGATGTTTAAGTCATTGGTGCCATGTGCATTATGACCCAAGTGCATATTATTAAAGAACGCAGTACACTCTTTAGAAAAAATGTAGGGGATTGCCTTCCAGTGTACTGCCCAATCACCACCAGAAGGACTCCACTGGAAATAAGTCTTCTTCAGACTTTTGTGGGTTAACCTTGGTGTTTACACCATATAAATCTAATCCAATGCTGGATGGTCACGGATGAGTGAATCTGTTCTAGATTCTTCTTGTTGTCACGATCAAAAGTTTCTGTCATCAACTTATTCTCGTCACGTCTTTATTTATTGCTTTCACTGACAATGAATTATTAATATACTTAATTTTCTACATTTAAAATATTAGTTATTCGTTATTTATTTGTTGGCAAACATTATTTTAACCATTTTCTTGTCCCACCAGTAGACTGTTGTTTTAATTTAACATGTTAGCCTGCTCAAATCAACTCTAAAGGCTTTGTATCCTACTATTACTAATTTAAGTAAACAAAACCGTAGTAAAATCCTCAGGATCTTGAAATCGGCACGTAAAGTCATTAGATCCGAAGTTGAGAGTTTTGATGACATATATAACAAATCTGTAATTAAGAAATTAGACATCGTTATTAAAGATCTTTCCCACCCCTTACATCATGAATGCACATCTAACAGATCTGGCCACTTACGCCCTAAAAATACTAATAGATTAAGAAATTCATTCACTCACAACTCAGTTTAGCATTCACTCACAACTCAGTTTATATCTGTAATGCTAACTTTGACCGATGATTTTCCTTTGCAATACCTTGTGCTATTATTTTTTGTGTGCTGTTTACCCTTTATGGTCTTTTGTTCTAACCTCTGTTTTTATTTTTGTATTTTTATTTATATTCATTACGTGTATAAGCATCAGGGAAAAGCATTCTACTTGTGAATTTTTCTATAAGTGACAATAAAAGTATCTTGTATCTTGTTGTATCTTGTATTGTCTTACTGTCAGTTGAGGATCCCAAATGGTTAGCTTTTGGATGCAATATCCCCACAAAACACTGGTTAAATAAATTAATATAAAAATATTAGTAGTACAGTATAAATATTGAAATAAAAATATGTTATAGGTAGCAAATTTTTTTGTGGGTGGGGTGGAGG